TTTCAGTTATGGGACGTACAGATATTTCAACACATCACGACATAGGCTTGTGGCATTGTTCTTGACTCGTATAACTTTTATGAAACAACTGAAGTCATTTTGCTATATTGTATGTATGTTTATTGTTTAAACATTCTTATATTAGTACGATTGTACAAAGCCAGTGAAGTAAAACAAACGGCTATAGTAAACATTGTTGGTTGCGCTGGCGCAGTTAGCTACTACTAGCAATGTCACTAATGTAGGTACTTGTCTTCTCTTTGTGTTTTGGTATCGGTATATCCTTTGATCCTTGATTTTACTATAGCTTTAGAATAATTAATATTGTATTTTACATTCACACTACTGTTTGCATTCAGTCTACTAAACATTGTACTATGTTCACAGGTCTGAATTATTGGGGCCTAATCTAAAAATTGTAGAATAACATCATTAAAATAATTTAATTAGTGCACAATATAAATGCATACCCAATAATATTTATCTTAACCAATCCATTATTAACTCAATAACTATAGTTTCTTCACCTGGTGAGTGGTTTAACCAGTCTAAAGCCGTATTGGTATATTTATGCCCGAATAGAAAAACTGGTCACAAGTGAAGCGCGGGAAGCGAAGTGGACATAATTAGGTGCATCCTGTGGGATCTTGTCTGGCCAGGTGATCTTGCAGGGGTGTATTTTAGGCCCATATGGAATACTAAGTATATTAATGGTCATTGTTTTAACAGATAAAATAATCGATATAATTTTGAGACTACTATAGAAAATTGAGTGTTTCGTTAGTCTAAGTTAAATACACGTAATTAATTGAGTTTTGAGTTGTATCAAGTAAAATTATTTATTGCATTTTATTTGGGTAGGCACTTTACGGATACGGAATATGCTAGAAAAAAATGTTAACATAGGTATAGCTCATGTGAAACTAAATGTTTTAAAGAATAGTACATACCAGTAAGTATTACATTTTATTTTTGACCTTGACACTAACTTATATTTTTATCGATGAAGAACATGTTCAGCGAAATTACAAGGTCTTCCGATGTTAAAAAAAGGACATAAAGACAAATTAACAATAGGCTAAAAAAGAATACAAGCGAGCTTCCTAAAGAAACATAATATTCGTGTAATGCACTAACATTATCAGTCAGGGAAGGAAGTGGTTCGACACATCCTTCCACATACCAATGGCGTAGTCAAATTGAAATTCTATCCACGTCAAATTTAAACAGAAAGCTTACATATTTATGAGATAGCTTTTCAATTTTGTACATTGCATCTTGTACCTACGTGATAAATTGAACAAAATATCTCATTATTTTTTGATCTCCAATAAAAAATATACAATAGAGACCTGCTGATACTACAAAAATAATATAATTGATTTAAATAAAAACACAATCCTTTGTTGTATTAAAGCTTTCTGAAACACTAAAGTTTTTAAAACGTTAACTCGTAAATGTCTGCCATTGTTTTTTTCTTATTTTGGCAATGACTTCAACCTCTAGCGAGTTCAAAAACATTTGCGCACTTACTTAAAACATTTTCTACCTAAATAATAAATTAACTATGTTTATCTAGAATCGACGACTTTTCTGTACATTTAAATGGAAATCGAATAAAACAATACACGTTTAACTTTTTCAATTTACAGCTTCTTTTCATCATAAATGTTACAACAACCGTTTCATATTTAATATTTATACCATAAACTTATCAGTAAACGAATCAACATGTTTAATAACTTGTTTCTAAGTCCAAATACGTATTGTATATAAACGCCATTATTTATTTGAACCGGTTATGTCTTATTGGAAAACTTGGTGTTAGCGTCGCAAAACGGCGGTATACGTCAGTGAAAATAATTGATCCGGCTCAGATACGCGTCATGTTAACCTTTAATCAGATTGTTATTAGCCCATATTAAGTACTTCACAGCTGGACAAAGGACTGTACAATGCTCTATGTCCTAGAGTCCTATATTCTATGTGTAGAGCTTTTGTAATATGTACCCGCATAATTAAATTAAGAGGCAAATTAATGTGACTTATATTGTTCCTAGTGCAACTAACACACTTATTCTAGTTTGAATTAAGCAGAGGTTGTGCTACTACTAAGTTTGTTGATAATTATAACCGATTAACGATTAACATAACAATAATTGGTAATTTTCTGGTAATTATTTTAAGGCAGAACTTATATTATCCCACGGGAATCTGATACCGGGACGAAAAGTTTTAAAGGTGTTAGTTCTGGCAATCAAATTGTTTGGATATGACTGAGTTTACTAATAGTTGATTCGATTTTTTGAAGGCAGAGTTGATAAAATGCTTAAAAGTACAGAGGTACAGTTGAAAGCACCTCAGACCATTATAGTAATTTTTATTACAAAGAAACTAATTACAACTACATAAGATGCAACTGTTTGCCTTCATATGCCATCGTCTGTAGGTACGTTTACTATAAAAATAAGAGTTTACGTCCGTGTTTTAATTATTTTCCTTAAAACGTACTACGTACTCGGGATAATGTGTCCATTAAATAAAACACAGTTGTTTATCGGTTATTAAACGTACCTAATCGAAGACTTTAAGAACTTATTTTATCTTGTAACCGCGGAGTTCACAACTCAAACAGTGGAAAGGGTTTCATGGACTAGAATTCCGTTAAATGCCATTAATAGTCTACGAAGGACCACAAAATTATAAAGATTCTCTTTCAGAATTACAAAAACAAAGATCACTTACCTATGCCTCAAGAAAGGAACAAAACAATAAAAAACAATAACGAAACAATACCTAATTCTCAAAGTGACGGGAATTTAGATTAACCTGTCAAAATACTAGGTTGTCTCCTGACTCATCCTTTACGAGAAAGTTCTATTAAGATAAAAACTTTTCACATCATTTACCTACATGTGTCTTTGTTGTACTAATAGGTAAGTATGTAGCTAAAGGCTTACATATACCAATGACTTAATACATTTATTACAAAATTTAAACATTAAATATCAAGGTTTTTCCGATATTAATGTGTCAGTTTGTATTTCTAATGGTGCCTAGATTAAAATGAAAAATGAATTGCGAATTAAATACTAAATTCTTGAAGATGTTGACCGTCAAGTGTTCATCTAAAATGCAAATTTTCGATTGTTGCTACTTCCCAATTAGTAAAATTAATTTTTTTTTGCGTATTTGCGCAACATTGATGTTATGAGCACCTTTAGCAAGGTCCCTAATTCTGAAGACGTATTTGTCTGTACAGGAGTTAATGTTGACCAAGGACCAAAAATTGCCAATGCTCCTAATTTTCTTACTCCTCGCGAATTTAATACGATTAATAAAGTAACAAAAGAAAACAGGTGACTTGGCTTTCTTATCTTTTGACGAGGAAAATCAACAAGCTACTTCACCAGTTGACTGTCCTGAATTGTGTAGAAAGAGGTTTCCATCGCTTGAATCACTTTGAAATGTGACTCAATTTCAAACAAAGGTGACTAACATCACCATCATGGTTTTCAAAGAAACCATTGACCTATTAAAGGAACCTTAAAATGTTGTCGGCGAGCTTTAACTTTGTTTTCCCTTAAAGACTTTCAATTGTTTTGTGTTAAGGTAATGTGTTATTGTAACTCTTCTTATCAACACCTTTTGTGTGTATTTTACCACGTGCTAATGCCATAGAATTGAGTAGAAGAAGTAAGCTATTGCTAGAACTATTAGGAAAAATAGATTATGGTAGACTTATTCAGGAGACTGCAGTATAGGGTGTTGGTAATTAGGTAGACTCTACCTAATTACCAAGCGGAATTCTATAGATGTTGGTGAGAGTAGAGATAGTAGAAAATTCTACTGCTACTGTCTTCTTAACAATAATGCTAATGATGGTAATGATATTAATATGCTTCATTATCTTTCTTTCATTGCATTAACAAGAGCGTTCATTTTTGACAATAATTAATTGTATATTTCTAGTAATGCTAGAAACATACATTAAAAATGTGTCCACATTTTAGCTAAACAGCTGGTAATAATATAATAGCAATAGTTTGTATTTTTTGATATGTAAATTATTATTTTAACCATTAACTAACATCAGTCGGTCATAATTGTTATTGTTATTAACTAAAATTTATAGGTAATACTGACCTCAAATGATCGTAAATTAAACTAACATCTGTTGATAGTAATTGTTGTTGACTAATAAAAATAACTAAAATAATTTATAACCAATACAATAACTGACCTCAAATCTTTTATGAAACTATTGTATCCCTTGAGACTCCAAATGAATCTGGGTCTGATCCTTAAGGGGTATCTAATAAGGTGTAAAACGTGACCAACAGGCATTATGAAGCTATAACTGAGGTGAAATCGAACAGAGGCGTACGTGACTGAAATTTTGATATTAATTTGTTAAGCGTATAATCTGCATTAGGAAACTAGGTCAGCTCTTTTATTGCTGATATAGAGATTGTGATTCTAGATAAATTTGTGTAGGTCGCTAAACGAGTTCTACGACCTAGGCCAGTAATGGTGTTATTTAACACGAGGTTTAGGAGAATGACATAATCACACTTTACTCAACTGATTAGAACGTAAGTTGATCCGAGGTTAACATAATATTAAGATTCAGCTGATTAAGATTATCAGCAAGTAAACATAAAGGGGTCAAAACACTATAATTATTGTTATTATCAATTTGCTATCTCGTACTTAGCTCTACTTCCTGAATGTCGGACCTACGCTATATGTTTTAAAACATTGTTCATTGTAATTTTCATTAATGATATCATTGGAATGAATTAGTTGCGGGAAAACTATAAGGATATTGTTTACCTACTTACTATTACAATAATGCTGGGTTTTACAATAATAGTATTTTCCCAAATAATTTAAGTAGGTAGATCTATTTTGGAAAGTTTATAGTAGATTTCCCAAACGTCCTAGGAATATTAAACATAAAGAAAACAAAAATTCGTTAACTTTTTTAATAAACTTACCAATCCTTGTATCCTCGGAAACATATTTATTAATTTTCACTATACACACTTGATCCAAGCAATCACAGTAAACTTACACCGACACACCCACTTCACAATACCAGTTACGAACGGAGTCGCGCAGGGTGCGATATTGGGACCGCAATCATACGTGCGCGCGCGATGGTGTCTCAATCGCTTCTGACTGGTCTGGGTTTACTGCGGCTGCATCGAACGATCCGCTGTGAATCACCCGCGTGGGCGCAGGGGAGTTCTGCCCTTTTATCTTTGTTTATCATTGTAACTATAATTGATTTCAGCAACGCTAATCCGGCTTAGTGCTGTAAATCTGCAATACTTGATACAGATAATGGATCGTTAATCTGATGCGTAGATGTTTCTCGGCTTTAATTTATACTTGATTTAAGTGTTGTAATGCAATAGCACGCTTTTGTATGTTTTATGCATAGGTGATATCTAGATAAAAAAAACAAATATGAAACACGTCTCCGTGTTGATACAACATGATAATATTGAGTAATTATACATTACAGAAAGAATGTGCCAGGAGATTTACTATACGATCTTAGTGTGCTCTTTTTGTTGCTTCATAACCTGCTAATTAAATTACAAAAGCTTGTTTTTACTTTAACACTAAGTTGGCAATAATACAAAACATTTACATGCTAAACGTTCACTGATGTGTCTCCTCAATATAGAGAATATTGCCATTTTTAAGGGTCTACTGTGGCCAAGGAAATGTTTCGACAACCCTACTCCTGTCCTGGCGCCTCAAGACGAGAAGAGCCGAACCCCAATAATGGAAAATGGCTAGGACAGAGAAGAAGAAGATAATAATGATGAATAGATTTAAGCTCCGGGACGAAGAACGCGAATTTCAGATTGACAAATTAATATTGCTTTCACATTAGGTGATTGAGACGAATACTTTAAAATTACAAAGAAAATATTTCATAACAATGAAATCATAACAGAAGTTCGGTAACGTTTGCTTTGCTGTCTCATTTTAGCGACGCTTAAGATGAAATTTAGATGAATCATAGAAAACGGAAGTATATGATGCATCTTAAGATATACTTAGTAATCAAAGAAATTCTCGGGAAACATTCTTTGTTAATTGTGGTGTAATAATAAATAGGCATTATTTACGCATATCAACGTGATAATTATGCATAATATTCTAATATTTTATGTTACTTAGCTACCTACTATTTCTTTCCTTGAGTAGGTACAACAAAAACGTTTCCTTTACGTAATAATATTCTATTATCATTCTTATTAATTTCGATTCGACTATTTGTGGGCTTAGGTTCGTTCGTTTGTTCGTTCGTTTCAGCCGAAAGATGTCCACTGCTGGACAAAGGCCTCCCCCAAGGATTTCCACAAAGATCGGTCCTCCCGCGACCAGGCAACTCCCGCCCGCGACCTTCACCAGATCGTCGGTCCACCTAGTGGGAGGCCTGCCCACGCTGTCTTCCGGCTCGTGGTCGCCACTCAAGAACTTTTCTGCCCCAGCGGCTATCATTGCCACTTGATTTTAGCAATTCTGCGGGTTCTGTCAGTCACTTTGGTTCTCCTACGGATCTCTTCATTTCTGATTTGATCACGCTTAGGCTTAGGTACTGGAAACTAATGACCGTCGTGAATGAACGTTCTCACCTGGATTCATAGTCAGCTCTTCTAAATTTTTTTAAAGTATCTTCAACTTTAAATTGTAACTTATTATTGTTAACATTAGATAGTTGTTCAAAATCTACAATAACCCGGTCATTGCTACCGGGCAAACACTGTTATCTCTTATCAGGGCTTACATGAAAGCAAATATGGCACGTGGTAAACTGACATATTGAGCTGGTTTATTGGTGTACAAGATAAAATGCATGTCGCAATACAATAAAGTATTTAAAACTTTTCAACAATATAATCTTCAATCTATGAGGAAAATCGTAAACGAACTAAAGCCGCTGACACAGCCCAATGTGCTAGGAAGATAAAGTGGTACATTAGACAGGACACACAGCACGCAGAACTGACGACTTCTGATGGGTAGCTCAACTTGTTTCTAGAATAGAAGTCACGTAGGTACCGGCAAGTGTGGGGTGATATCCACCCACATGGTAGATGATCCTATAAAATCTGCAGCAAACCGCTGGATTCAAGCTGCTTCTCACCAATCTGGAATTTTTTGTGAGAAGTCTTTATCAACGGCCGATGGGGCATCTTGTTTAACTTGTTTTTGGAATAGAAGTCACGTAGGTACTGGCAAGTGTAGGGTGGATTATGGATAGATGACCTTATAAAGGTTGCAGGAACTCGCTGGATTCAAGTTGCTTCTCACCAATCTGGAAAATGTTGTGAGAAGTCTTCATCAGCATGTGACTGATGAACATTATGATAATTCTGAACAAATAAATCTCACTTCTATAGGAAAAAAAAATATTCCTACAGTCTTCATGTAAATAATGTTTATCAGGGCACATTTTCAACCTAAATGTTAAGTGGTTTGGGCAGTAATCTTATATCAAAACCAATGGAGGTAGATCGATGAAGGTAGGGGTGAATTTACCTAAAGAAAACTTGCTATAAGAACAGAGTCTAAAGAACTTACAGTAACAACTATTTACTTACTATTAAAAAAATATTATTGTTGTAATAATTACTGTATTGCAAAACCATTATGAGAATAGATTACAAGTGCTTAGTAAGTCCTTGAATTGTAAATAAATGAAAAGAGTCTTAAGAAAGCTTATATCGGTATTTATTGAGCAAATAATGAATCTTTGTCGACATATTAATGCCTTTGTTTGGATTTATTACGTGAAGGTTGTTATTATCATGTTACACGATCACGGTTTCTTTGAACGATCTTTACAATTAATTTCAGACAGTACAAAAGACAAGCAAAGAGCAATTTGAGATTTGAGATTTCTTTTAGGACTTACAATTACCAAGTCAATCTTTTTCATCTGATCAGATCATTACTGGCAGCATACTCGTATATTTTGTTGATCGGGGTCACTTACGGTAAAATCGTTTCATTTTCAATAAATAAGAGATCACTGCTCCTATATTTTAAGACTCTACGTCACTATAAACTCGTGTTACTCGTGTTACGTTAATTTGAAGTAGGTATACTTACTTATTGAATAAAATTGGTAACATCGCCTTGATATTTGACTAACTGTTTAAGTTCCAAAGTCACGCCTGGTATAATCTGGTCTCTATCAAGGCTGTGCTAAAAAGTTAGCTTAATCTCATTGTAGTCTTCATTCATTCTATTTTTCCGACATGTCAGTTAAAATGTACTTATACGAATTTTTCAACGATTTGGTCAAAGCAAACAAATTTAAAATACCTAAATACTATAAAATACCTAATACGTATCCTACTAGGTGGACCGACGATCTGGTAAAGGTCGCGGGAAGAACCTGGATGCGGGCAGCGCAGGACCGTTCGTTATGGAAAACCTTGGGGGACGAGGACTTTGTCCAGCAGTGGACGTTATTTGGCTGAAACGACGACCTAATATGTATAGTAATGTGTTAATTAGTAAAATGGTAGTAAGGCTAATATTACTACTTTTACTAATTAACACATTTCCTTCATAAATATGTTTACAAAGTCTTTAAGAATGGATTTTATGCAACTAATTTCACAATGTAAACTAGTCCTAAATTAAGTCAAACAAAAACATAATTACCTAAACGTAGTAAAATTAACATCATTATTATTATTGTACTTATACAAATCTATACTAATATTATAAATGCGAAAGTAACTCTGTCTGTCTGTGTCGCTATCAAGCCTAAACTACTGAACCGATTTTGATGAAATTTGGTGTAGAGGTAATTTGAGTCCCGATAAAGGACATATGATAGTTTTTATCCTGGTTTTTTAAACAGGGTCGCGTGCGATATAGTTTTTCTGTCACAGACACAATTCCACGCGGGCGAAGCCACGGGCGGAAAGATAGTTCGTCAATAAATTAGGTTATACTAGCGATAAGCTGGCCCCACAATTTCATAGTATAATAACAATATTGCTAAATGTCTGGTTTGAGCGCACGCGCAGCATTCAAGCACCAGACTTGTGTCACGTAAGCTCACTATGTAGGGGGAGTGGGTTTTGGGGCATTCAATTCAAATGATACCACACCACAAGTGAATTGTTTACACTCCTTTTTGGTATTTGGAAGTTTGGATCTCTTCCAACTTCAAGTGCCTGGTGTTCCTGTGCTGTGACACGTAGTATTTTTCAAAAACATGGCCTTACATAAACTCTCCTAAGAAATATGTATTATGTCTTGTGAGCTAGTCCAGAAAAAGATAGATTTAAGTTACAAGAATACATACAGAAACTCAAGCAGATTTATATCTTATTTACTATGATCAACTTATTTATGGTAATTACATTTTTTGTCGGCCGTTTGGTGTAGTGGTTCAGAACGGACTACTATGCCGAGAGGTCCCGGGTTCTTGAAATGATGAATTTTAATTTCTGTGACGGGTCTGGGTGTGACTATGTATAATATTTATGTATTTAAAAAAAAAGTATATAAGTAGTATATCCGTTAAGCTAGCACCCATAACACAAGCATTAAGTTGCTTACTTTGGGGCTAGCTGGCGCTGTGTGAAATTGTCCAAAGATTATTTATTTATTTGAAAAGTTGAATCAATCTTTATTAATCCATACTTAAAGGGACATCCTGTATAAAGGCATTCTGTCATAGTAGGCGGTTGAGATTGATTCTATAGAGCTATGACTATGAACTATACTTAGTCGTGTAACGTGATTCACCTTCCTCCGAAATACTTACGGTGTCATACCTATATTTTTCACAAATTTTAATATCATTGTACTGTACATCGCTAATTTTGATATATTTTATGCTCCAATTGCAATGTAAGGAAGGTCTTATTAGAAATTTCTTGACATTTATTCCTTTTACTCGTATTTTCTAAGCCCCCGTGACCATTCTTCTCGATCAACACCTCAAGAGAAGTGGGGATGGCTGAAAACCAGCGCCGTCTAGGACATGTAGTCCTTGGCAGCACAAGCTGAGCCACCTCCAGTTGCTTCCACCTTTTTAATATAAGTTTTTTTTGTAATTCCTTTTTTGTAAAGCAAGCAATAAACGATTTTTTTTATTTTTTATTAAAGACATAATGTACTGCGCAAACACTGACCTCTCACTTGCTCTTGGGTAAGGTAATATCTACCACTGATTACGCAATAAACATGGTTTTGTTCCTCAATGCATAATTTACAAGTTGCAAGCAATTAACGAAGAGCACAAGATTTGAGACCGGTGGACCGACGAAATCATAAAGGTAGCAGGAAAGCGCTGGACGCAGGCCGCTACCAACCGGGTAACATGGAAAGCATTGGGGGAGGCCTATGTTCAGCAGTGGACGTCCTATGGCTGAGATGATGATGACAAGATTTGAGCAAATGTTTGTTAAATTTTTTATGTATAATTTTTGGTTCCTGAATTTTTCCGTTTGAAATAACAGTTAAAACTTTTACAATAATAAAAACATAACGACCTTTTCAAGGAAGCCTAGCCTTCAACATTTTTCAAATGTAGAGTTTGAAATTCTTTAAAGGTCAAGCGTTAAGAATTCCCCCAAAGCAGGTGTCCTGTGGCGGTTAGTAAGAATTCTAACTAAATTAATTTTAATATTAAATGAGCTTCGACTATTTTAAGTGTAATAATAGGTATTATTTTTTAGATTGATTATTACGAAATTGGATTACATTTTTAGACAATTATATTATTTTTATGTAACTACCTTATTACAGATGTACCTATTACTATTGAGTTAAACTACTAAACGACTAAACCGGCAAATTGCGGTTATTATCCTCCTACGATAAACTTTGACTTAATACATCACAAACATTGTATTTTATTGCTCGCTTAATCCTTTGCTTAGTTCACAATTTTTGTAAATAATATACGAGTACTACACTATTACCATTGGATATTAAGATAAAATTTTAATGCATATTTGTTTAAATCTTAGGAGATTAAATACTTATTGAATGAACCAATCAATTTCTCAAATCTGTTCATAATACGATTCTCAAATGTTTGCAAATAAATAAATACCTATTTATTACTAATACTTAGAGAATTACTTAAGTCTTCGACGTAGCCTGAAGTGATATTAAATAAGTAACCCTAAATAAATAAATTTCACATCAGTAGATAAAGATCATCATGAAGTAAATACACACATCGCTTTATTTCTTTCTGTGTAAACGTAACTTTATTTACTTAATAAATAAGTCCGTTGTTTTTATACATGTCGTATTTACTACATTATATGATTTATAAGATTTATGTATTGTATTATTGTCTTCATCAATTGAAATGGATTTACTCAGCCAGAAATTAAAGTAAAGCTTACTATAGATTTAACGCTTAACCTGAGACAGTGACTGGGGTATGAAGCGGCACTGGAGGGGTGATTTTGACATAATTATGACGTGACAGCATACCAATCTGAGGGTCTAGACAAAGTGCAAATTATAATCGCAAACCAGTCGAAAAGTGGTCGAAAAGCCTCTTTTTTGTATTTAGTTTTGACGGATTTGATTTTCGATTCGATCAAAAAGTGTGTTTTGTCTAGGGGGGCTGAAGTCTTGCTGATATTGACGTAATAAAAAACCGCTCCCATACTTACCTCAGGTACTGACTCAATTAAGCGCTTCAGTTTTAAAATGTATTTACTATAAGTATACCTACTTTTCTAAGTCCTACTTTCAGCCAGACATCATGAAACCCGGTTTTTAACCATAGGTACACGTGTTTTGCAATGATACCAGCTTCTACTGAAATCCGCAGCTTTTAGTCTTTAGCTGCGATCTTTTTATAATATTTGCCTACATTTTCATATTCATATTATTACCAAATAATATGAGTCTTCAGTTACATCAACCTTATCATTGAAATGTCGCTCGCGTCATACTTAATTATGGGATCGTGACGTCATATCGCACATGCCATAGCGGGGATTCCTCAACCACAACCTACATCACAGACTGATAGTATATTTTGCATGTCAACATCCTGGAAGGAATTCCATATAGTGGACCGTTACGCAGTGAGTCAGGCATATCCGTTAGGTCAAGGCGCTATGATAGTTCTTGGAACAAATGGAGCCACTGTTAGTAGTTGCACCAAAGTGCAATTAAATTGTCCTCACACCATTTTTTATATGAATACTATGAGTAGTAGTTAAAAAACGCGCCTCTCTACCAAGATGAATGATAAAAGATTTTTTATCACACACAACACTAGCTGTGGTTTTGTATCGTTCTTTATTTATAGTATATCAGTAGTGTTGCTGCGGTTAATGTTTGCGGTCATTTACTGCTTAATAGTCTTATAATCAAGATATTTTATACCCACCTCTAAATGTAAGTCTCTAAACTATAGACTAGATTTCAAATGCTGCCTGACGAGAAATTATTTGAGCTACTTAGGTAAGTATTTCTTTACATACACTCTCTTTGTTAAAATCACCTTCTTTATTAGTTATCCATACAAACACGCTCTCAAATGTTTTGAAAAGTAGATCAAGACGAACTTTCATGAATACAACTAAGATAAACATTAACTTTCTCTGAAAACTGAACAAAATACATTTACCTGTTTAAACGAGGTCGTACTGTGAGGTATGACGGATGTGTGAGATGGCTGTGAAAGGCATTGTCTTCGTGATCCTTCAATTTACTTGACAATGTAAGGTATTAGTCACATGGAATTGAGTTTATATTCTAAGTTTTGAACGTTTAGTTTTCATACAAAAGGATGTAATTAGCATCTAAAATGGGGATATTAATCCACTCTACATTGTTAGACGCAAATAAAATTAAAGTTTTTTCTTGAAATTAATGTATCAATACTCGACTACTTTAACCGGTTGGTTAGACTGTCTAGAATCACACTAGCGGAAGTCTAGAATATTTCTAATCGATGCTATGACTTCATTGTGAATATACCTACTTCTAAAACGTCTTGATAATTTATATTTTCCTTTCATGATACTCACAGCAATGCGTCTTTGTGAATTTGCCGCCAAATTACTGTCAGGGGGTTCATTTTTGTCCACAATTTACAGGGCTGGGTCAACACGACATTCAATAAGCAAAATAAGAGAACAAACAAAAAGGGAAGCTTTTTCGTCTCATCCATTAATTTTCTACCTTTTACAGAAATGTGCCATCTTATTTTGTTCTCCGGAATAACTTGTCATAGGCATCCCCAGTGTTTTATTATGATTTTGGTACTTTCTTCCGGCGACTTCCGGGCTCAAATGGATTTGGGCCACTTTTCTCATTTAAGACAGGGCCGTTTCGGGAGATTTATCAGATAATTATTTTTCAAACCCAGACTAATCTTCTGTTGCTTTGATAAAGGTTTACGTTGAAATTACTTCATCAGTTGGACTAAATTATAAAATTTTAATTTTCTATCGTCTTTTTAATAGATCTTTTTTTAGACACTTATGCCCGTTTTCACCATCAATCCCTAATTTTTAAGTGACCCCCATGGTAACAAATAACAGGAATTTTGTTTAATAGGGGTTACTTAAAAATTAGGGATTGATGGTGAAAACGGGCATTAGACAGGTAGACTTAGGCTGAGTTGCACCATCTTATTTTAACTTTGACAACGTCAAAAATCTGTCAAACTTCATACAAAAATCACCGGTTATTGTTATAGTTACGGTCAAAGTTAGGTGGTGCAACTCAGCCTTAGACAGGTAAACTTATTAAAGTCCTATTGATTGAAGGATAGCCTCTAGTTAAAGATGTTATACTTTTCCTCAAGTATCCTTTATTGAGTTAATCAACAACGAAATTAATAATATTGTAATTAAATTTAAAAAGTACAAAAGCCCCATTGAAGCATTCAGCTGACCCTGGATTGGTAACAAAGGCCAAGATGAGTAATCTCGCAAACTTTTCTTGATTACTTTAAGCCGTGATAAAAATAATCCCCTACCCCTAATTTCTTGGGTCAAATGTTAAGAATGAAGAATTCAAATAAAAGGACTTAGAAGATTAAGTCACAAAGATATTTGGTTTATTATACTGAAAGGGAAAAGATAATCCTGAAAAAGATTTAATTGACTATTCGTCTCTCTGACTTACTGTATAAATAAAAGTGAAAAAGATGAATATAGTAATAATTCTTATTACTGGTATATTCTAGAAACTAAACCTATTGTATAGGTGAATCTGGTTCTAGTCCTATTTGTTCAAGGTAAATACATGCAACTGCGATAATGTACCTACGATTGTCGAGTCCGACCTTCCGTAAGGCGAAACCCAAAAACAAATTCCAACAATAATCATTAATAAATTGATTGTAACCATTTACCACCAAGTTCCATCCTCGTTTTTCATCATTATTTGGTGAACCCACTCTAAGCAAAAGAACTTAATTATTAAGTTTACTTGGAGGACTTTAGAGTTAACTAAAACCTATTTAATTATTTCTAAAAAGAATATTCTCTTTGTTCCAGGTCAAACGCTCCATAATGCTCAAGATGGCCGACGCCTGTGCCGACAGCTCCAAACAAACCCGTTTCCACGAGATGCACGTGCAGCGCCATAATAACGTCAGCATTCTCTACGCTGACATCGTCAACTTCACCCCACTGTCTGAAAGGCTCAGCGCTTCAGACCTGGTCAAGACCTTGAACGAGCTGTTTGGACGGTTCGACCAGATTGCCCAGGTATGTTACTAACTGCTGAAAAACGCAAAGTATCTGTATGATTTGTTTCAAGTTGAAGATCTATACTTTCGTATACTGTTTATTAGCGCTTCAGACTTAGTTACGACGTTGAACGAAGTCTTTGGACGGTTCGAACCTAACAGATTGCCCAGTTACTGCTAAAAAATGTATACGTTTGAAATATTTTACTATTTCAACTTAAAGACGTGGTTGAATGCAGGATAAAGCAAAGCAACGTACATACGTAAGTAGTGCGCATCGTAGGCCTGCACTTAGGTGTACGTCGTACAGTCGTAGTTAGTCGTCGTAGGTACTAGTTCCTTTCCTACTACGTTCTAGATTTAGATCCTGGGTTTAATTGATTAATTGTTAGGATTGTATGTATTACTCGTCGTCGTCTGAACGATTGAGCGTTATCAGACATTTAGAAGTCTGTCCTTATTTTTTACATTATAATACGATAGAGACGGTTAAAAGGCACAAAGTATAATTAAATTTACATAAATAGTCATTGCTTAACACAGTTACTTAGCTTAGAAATCCTAAATCTACGATTACCCTACTGAAAAAGATTGATCTTCTAGATAAGTACAATCCATTCATTTTACATAATTTCAGGGTATTTTACTCTCAAGTCTGTAGGATATTACCTAAATATTTTTTGGGACGTTCGAGAACATTAATGTCCGACCTTAATTTTGTCCTAAAGGTTAGAACTGGAATATTTCAATTCAATTCAATTTATTTATTCCAAAAACAAAATACATTGTATAGGAAAATTAGACATTAAAATTCACACAATCAAATTTAATTCGATTATTTTTATAGGGGTCACAGACTTTCTTAATATAATTAATCAACGACATTTCATGGGTCACATGGTCCTTCGATAGATAAACAAAGTCATCAAAGTACTTTTTAAAATCTTATTTACGACCTTTAATTATAATTTTATATGAGTGGATAAGACTCAATTTATTGTAACCTCTGACGTCACTGGTGTCCTATATGCATTGACTATTTGTTAATTTCAACGAACTAACAATCTTTTTTAGCGTAAAAGTGCCTTAGAAGAATTCTTTATAACCCTGTATTTTTAACAAAACATCGTAAATCATCACTGAAACACAAACTTAGTTCAATCCTCACAAACTCGCCTGAAATAATTCCTCCAGTATCGCAGAACATTAAGTTTCAGCTGCAACGTAATAAGAAGTTCTGAAAGTTCATTTCAGGATACAACTTCAGATAACTTCACTAAGTAAATAACTTCCAAGTTTGAGTGAAAACGGACTTAGGTACCTAATTGACTTCGAGCTTAATAGTTTAGCGAGAACTGTAACGCTGGACACAAGTTGCGACCGGAATTAAAATGAAGTTCTAGTGAAATTGTAAGACAAACGATTTTGCAACAATATTTTTAAAACTAAAATGCTGTCAACTGTACAATGAATTTGATATAGTAAATTGTCTGTATGACTATTGCTTTTTGGATGTCATTTTTTGAGGTAAATTTAAAGTTTATTTGACGCTAGGAATTTGCACTTTGTAGGAACTCTAATGTGTAATTTAAGACATAAAATAAATCAGTTAAGAAAAACAAGACACTGCAATTCTAAATTAATAGAAAAACTTACCTAAAGAACAATCACATCGTGTCCCAAGCTTACAAATTAATTAATTGTTCTTGAGCTTAATTGAAAGCTACCACACTATTTAGTGGGGGGGACATAATGTTTACGCGAAGATAAGGATATACAGCACCCAGGGGCTACGAGGTAATCTTTCCTTACGAAAACAAGATCTATGAACGAAAAATCCTTTAATAGTTTTAGGAATTTTGTAGTTCACTAATTATTCACTACTTGGTTTCACGTAATGTCTGCTTGGAATAATTACGTCAAGTAGCTTATTTATTTCTTGGAGCTTCCATGAATTTTAATTATTTTCAGAAACGTTGACATATTTCTTGATTGTTACGAAAAATATAATAACTAGAAGTGAAGCTTTACAAGCTTTCGTTCAACAATGGAAAAATTAAAGTTCATCGAAACGTTTTAGCATGAAAATGTAATTTTTGGCATTCATAATTTTTTCTATAGATCTAAAATATACTTTACTGGAAAGTTTCGTTGACAAACAGAAAAGTATGTTTTTATGAAATTTTTCTTTATAAATATACTTTTACCCACGTATTTCCAATTTTGAAATGGATATCTTTTGCCCACGACTTTTCCTTTTCAATAGAACCATGCGAACTTATCTTCAAAGTTCGTATCTAAGATATAAATCGATTGTCCAAATTCCAATATCTTGAAGCATTGAATTTTATTGACAGAAGTTTCCACACAAGTTTGTCCAGCAGAGAGCGCTAACACTCGATTGGAATTCTGCTGCAGACGTGGTTGGTCCGAATTCGACCCTAAATGTGTTTCGGTAATGCAATCCCCTGAGCTACTACAGCATTGGAGTTACATTGCTTCCAATAGTTTCAATTGTGTTCTGGTAAGTGGATATGCGCAGAATTGACCTCACGATGATTGGAACGTCAAATGGGATTGGTATAAGATTTTAAACGTTCGCGTTCCATTTCAACTAAAATAGTAAGACACGGGTCTTAACGCGACGTTTATTATTGAGTTACATTATGTACTCACGGCTTTATGTTCCATCAGGTCAGATACAGGTCAAGAGCTTCCTCGTTGTGGATTAAAAAAAAACGTCGCGTTAAGATTCGTGTTCTTACTATTTTAGTTGGGATTGGTATGTCCAGAAAAGGTCCTGTGGCTACAAAGAAAGAATATAGGTACCTTTATCTTTTAGATTTTTTCACAGCTTTGTATTTGATTTTCAGAATACTCTCATCTCAGTAATCAGTCAGTTTATTATTCAGTCATTCAAAACTAGAAAGATATTTGTGAAGTAAATTGAATTAACCAATATTAATTGCTGATTAGTGCTGTGATGCTATAATACCTATCATTAAAACAAACAATAGGTAAGCTCAATAATCGATTGTCCTAACATGTCGATAATGTAAAGCATCGATCGATAACACTAAAGGGAAATAATTTTAATAAGAACTTAAGACATTTGGTTTCCAATTTGTGCAACAAGGAATTTAAATGGTTGAAATATCTTGGTATTATAATTTAATTAAAGTTAGTAGCTTTTTGTTACTTGATTGCCCGCGAAACTTTGTTCCTCTCAATCTTGTGCTTAAAGTGCAACAGCTTTTGTTGATATTATTATGAAAGTTCTAAAAGTTATTGGGGCTGTGAGAAAGTGTAGTAAAATTATTCAGAAACTTATTAGATACCTATTTCTCGCTAGGGGATAAGTCGCCAATCAAGTGACAGATTGCAACTTCGATTTCAGATTTTAGTAATTTTATTTATGGAAAATTCGCTTGCCTGGGTATATTGTATAAACAATACTCTCTACAATACTCATCGTTATAATTGATATTAATGCCCGTTTTCACCATCAATGCCTAATTTTTAAGTGGGGTAACACATAACAAACATTTTGTTTTTAAAGGGGTTTCTTAAAAATTAGGGATTGATAGTGAAAACGTGCATTAGGCAGTCACACAACAACTCCTAGTGTGATCTATATTTTCCTGCTAAAATATTAAAAGTATCTAAAATTAAGCAATAAATACAGATATACATATACCAAAGCTGCACCCAGTTGATCAGTATCACAGGAAATTTAAAAAAAAAGTTTAAGGCTCTACAAATTCCATTTTCCTTTTCAAATAACGACATGAACGAAAAGATGTAACAACGCGATAAGAGTAGAGCTCAGTGTGATTTATTGCAAAAATATATCCGCTCTAATAAGTAGATACTAATAGAAGACCAGTGGAGTGTGAACCGTTTGTTATAAAGATGCGACGAACATACAGTAGTCTCTAGATACCTATTTAAAAATGTTTTACTGGTGACCCGCCCCGGCTTTGCACGGCACGGGTGCTACATACATAAAAACCTTCCTCTTGTATCACTCTATCTATAAAAAAAACCACATCAAAATCCATTGCGTAGTTTTAAAGATCTAAGCATACATAGGGACACACAGCGGAAAGCGAATTTTTTATACTGTGTAGTGATGATTGCAGTGATACATTACATAGCAAAGACGAAAATGGCACACGTAAAATAGTTTTAAAATATTGTTTTAAGTTTGTCGTGAGTCCTGTTTAGTGAAGTTCAATTCTATTGATAGACAAACATAATGTGTTTCGTTCGTTCGTTTCAGCCGAAAGACGTCCACTGCTGGACAAAGCTGGATAATGTGTTTATTTAACTTGTATTTAGGTATTTATCAAAATAATTTGTCATGTGTACGATGATGGTAAATCACGTCTTGTGAACGACAGAACTGCAACTGCAACTGTATTGATAAACCAATAAAATATTTTCAATATAGATCACTTGGTAGATATTATGTTTGAACAAACTAATACTTTGAAGCATTTTTTATCACAACAAGCTTAAATATACGTCCTTATTTTATCTAAAAAAGTAAAAGTTGGTTAACTAAAACAACAGACCACGAGGTAGCAATTGGCTTACAGCAGCGTCAATAAGATTATGATGTCTAGAATATTTCTAATCAATTAAATAGAAGCCTATAAAATGAAATTTTGATCATTAAATTGGCCAAAGATTTAAGTTACTTGCGGTACCGTTCGCTTTTAATGTAGGTATCTATTTGTGGAATTGATACTGTGTAGGTAGACTGAAGCTGATTCTGAGATTTTTGATTAAAAGTAAATCAGATATTCATTTTAATAGAAATGTTCCAAACGAAGGCAAGCATAACGTAAACGGTTTACTTAGTACGGAAGGGAGTCGGTATACGAAAAGCTACAGTTTGTATTGAAAGTTTTCACTCTTTCCGTTTACACGAGCTTGCGGCTATCAGCGGAAACTTAACACGGGCGAGTTTTATTTGCAGTAGGGAATGTATGTACAACATGACTGTTGTTTGAC